TTTTTAGATTCAAAATGGCCGACTGGTGGCCATTTTGTTTTAATGAATGTGGTTCTAGTGCCATATCTCTGACTTGCTTTGACTGATTATGTTCAAATTTTAAATATTCATTATACATCATGTTATAGATATATACATGTATTCAAAATGGCTGATTTTGTTTTAATTAATGCTGTTTCTACGATCAGATACAAATGTCAATCATTTTAATGTTAAACAATCATCATAATCATATTCCTGACATGGTTATATTCCAGCTATATTACTATAAACAAAATTATATATCTTAAATTTGATAACTAACTGGGATGTGCCATGCTTGTTTTAATTAATGTCCATGCTAATTCTTCACTTTTACCAGGGGTGTATATAATACCATAGGTTGTGTTATTTTGTGTCACTTGACCAAATTGTTAAATTGACAGTCATCTTGTGTAAAATTATTTTAAAATCACAGTCTGTAAATGTGTCTGGAATTATTTCAGAGATGAGTAGGGCTTTGTATCAAGATCATACAACTGTACATCCTGGGTTTACAGGTATACATCATATTCATCCCTTCAGTTAAAATGTTTTTCAAGAAAAAACAAAGTAGTTTACTTTATAATTGTTATTTTGCAGATGGAATTGAGTTTATGATTTCTGCTAATAATGTAATACTGTCACCCGGTGATGAACATGGTTGCATTTCTTCAGATTACTTCAAAGAGATTAGACAAACAAACACATGTAAGTATTGAACGTCTTATTTTTCCTGCCAAAATTTTGTTGCGAGAATTTGAGAATTTCTTTGTTAATTTTGGCCAAAATAAACATTATATTATGTTGCTTACAGTTCAAACATTTTTCAAAAAAATTGAAAAATAATGTCACGGTCCTGAATTTCTAGCTTATTCAGCAAGCAGGGAAATATATCATAGATTCCATTGTCGTAACCATGGCCTTCTTACACAATTCATTATGTTATTATTCAGTGACACTGGTGGAGAGAATGCAGTGATTCTTATGTATAAATGCCATTATCAGTGTTATCAAAAAAACACAGGAAAATGTGACAAAATTCTCAACCTTTGACATCACTACCCCCGGTATTTTAAACAATTCTGTGCAAGTCTATAGTGCGTTGACATGCTATTAAAACAAAGAAAGTGCACCAAATGCGTTGGTGAATCACAAATGTCTAATTTATTTTATTCTTACTTACTTTTTTTATCAAGCTTTTTCTGTTTTGCCCAATGAAAGTCTACTACATCCTCAAATTTATACAGAGAAATTTTAGTACATTTTATATGAAAACAGACATCTGTTTATAGTGTTTAGAAATAAAAATGATTTTGGCAAAAATATCGTCATAAAGATATCCCGTTGTTAGACTGTTCAATATGTTATGCCCTCTAGTGACGAAGCACTGGTACGAAATGAAAATAACCTATATGGATAAAGGCAAAGTCGTTCAAAACAACAAATGTGTTTGATTGTGTAGTTATTTAGAACATAGTAAAATCTTTCATAAACTTCAAGCATGGTGGTCGTCGCGCAGCACGTGTTTGAATTTCATGTAAATAAACAATGTATTTTACATGCATTATATACATCGCTATGAGTCCCATATCGAACAGGACGTGGCACTACCTTTGCCTTTTAAGCTTCATTGATTATTAACTACAGATCAAAACGACATAAATTTTGAATGACCTTTGCATCACCCATCTACATCATGGAACCGATTCGTTGCTAGAGGAAGCAACTTCGGACAGGTATATTGGGTTTCAGTTCTGGGAGGGGGTGGGGTGTACCAGATTTGGTTTCCCTTAAATTTAACCTTTTCATCACCAGTTTCCTCTTTTCATCAAAAAATAGTCCTGTTTATAGTCGGCACTTTTCTTCAGAAGATTGGAATAAAAATAGCCAAGTAAAAATTGAAAATTGACTCAAATTTTGTCTGTTTGCACCAAAACTATGGTTCATTTCCAGAAATATTGAAGAGTATAAGAAAAAAGTGCAGACAAATTTTGGCAACAAAGTCTGGTAGTGAAAAGGTTAAGGAGGTGCTTGCTTGAATTCAAGGCTTGTTATTAAACTGACCTTTAGATATTCCATATACAAATATTGCACCATACTAAAAACTTCTCTACTTCTAACAGCAAGACAGAAGCGTTGGTTAGGAAAAAACGAGGAGAAAAGTGAATCAGACCAGAAGCCTCAACAAATAAGACAGAAGCGTGGGTTAGAGAAAACCGAGGAAAAAAGTGAATCTGAACAGAAGCCTCAACAAATAAGACAGAAGCGTGGGTTAGAGAAAACCGAGGAAAAAAGTGAATCTGAACAGAAGCCTCAACAACAAGCCCGTAGTGACAAGGTGAATTATTTACCGGGTATTAGTTTTTTGGCTATCACGATAATGATATCTAGTTCATAAGCAGGAACCTGAACATTTTTATCTATTTGACACCAAAAGTTTCATATTGAATAATTAATTAATCTTATTTGATTGAATAAATGAATAAATAAATTTATAATCACATCAACATGGAATGATAGTGATGAGAATATATAGCAAATTTAATAGCACCTTTCACAAACTTATTTCAGTTGAAACCTCAAATATAGCATTATAAAAGTTTTAAAATAATCATCAATGATTCTGTATCACATCATATAATCATGGTTCTTTCAGACTGGTAGAGAGCAAGACATGTACTTAAAACCAATCACTGACCCATCAGTATACTGCAATGTAATACATGGCGTTTATATCAACAAGTGGCCAGGCTTCAAACAACGGGTATGTATTTAATGTGTATAGCATGATTTCTTGGTTACTGATCACAAGTAGCAGTGTAAACTATGTTTTGTTGTTAAAACACCAGTAAGCATGTAAAGTTCAACCAGAATTTATTTTACATGTGTTACGATATGGAGACAAATGTATTTGCTTTTTACGCAGATGCACTTCACTGTATTACTTACAGCGCTGTATAAAGAAACAAGAACATAAAATGAGTGACCCAGTCATAGTTTACTATGAATGTACAAAAATGCGATAGTAGTTGGCCAAACTAAGTCATATGTTAATGATTCGGCATACAAGATATTGCAGAGGAGTGAATGCAATTTTTGGTTTAAATGTGCTTTTCACAATACATGAAGTGCCTAGTAGACAGAGTCAGAATTCAGTTATGTGACTTTGACATGATTTTGAACCCAAAACAAATACGAGAATATGTTATTTTAATTATGATCCACATAATTAATTTTTAACTGCTTTAACCGCAGAGAGATATTGCACTGAAAAAACCACCAACTGCCCCAAAATAATCACTCAATTTTACATTTCTTACATATATTTTTGTTTGTTTGTTCTGCTTTACTTATTGATCTAATTTTCTAATTCTTTACTTTAGTTTGTTACTTTTTTAGCTAGTTGTTGTTTATTTAAACAACATTCTTTATTGTATTATTTTCAAGATCCCACTAAGGATACAAAATCAATAAGGTTATTTACCCACTTACTTACATCAGAGATTAGATCAGGGACTCCTATGTCTATTCAGTCCACATTCAAATTGACTTTTGACTGACAATCTGGCAAAACACTTTGATTAGCATACTTTGAGAAAAAGATAATCAATCAAAACTATTTGTTCCCACTCATCTGTTATACATGAAGGTCTATTTATTCATAGGGCATATCCAGAAAGAAGGAACGTTACATTAATCTGGCACTTGGAGAGCCAGGAGAACCAGACGCGGAAGAAGTCTTTGAAGGTATCCATTTTCCACATATGATAGTACACAATTTTTATTATACATATCTTTCTGTTATAAAATATCCCCCTCTTAGAATTCAACTTTTATCTTAACCCTACATGCAAGATTGCTTTCCTATTTTATATGCAGGTATTGGATAAATTTTTCTTGGTGATTAAAATTCCCATTTCACTTTCTCTCAATTTGATATTCAGTAGAAAACTTCCATTATTTGATGATAACATTTAATTTTACTATTAAAGACAATTTGTTGCGTTTAATATATATAAAAAAAAACTTTATGAAAAGAAATATGTATCCACAACCACAATGAAGCAAGTAAACATTTTCTGTTCTCACGATACTGTGACTTTTTGTTTAAGTTGTCATGCTGAGATAAAAAAGTCTTATCATTACGGTATATTTCATTATTAAAATTTACGTGTGATTATGAGAAATAGTGTTACACAATTTTTGAGACAACACTTTTAAATAATATACTTTATATATACCCGATGTTCTTTTGTAGATGTTCGTCGCAAGTTTGATGTGATGATATACATTGATTTAGAAAAAGCCATGAAAGGTAAGTGAATGAGTGACAAGAAAATATCTGAGCTTTAGAAATCATATATCATTCATTGTCAATAAATAACCATTCGTCCATTTTTAACAAATGTATTCAAGTTTTATAAAAAGATGACAATACGACAAAGCAGAGCTGTTTTATAGAATAGTGAACATCAAATAGTGTCTCACTTAAGAAAAAAGTGTAAGTCCCAATCACATTAAAAAAGGGACCTAACAGGTACACAAAAAAAGAAACTTCACAGATTCATAGACAAAAAGACTCCTTACAGTAAATTCTGACCTAAAAACCAGAAATTAGTTACAACGAATGCAAGCTGACATTATGCACACATGCACCAATGCAATTGATAATGGGATAATAAATCCTCTGCTATGAAACATATCTCAACTTGTTGGTATTGTCATCTTGTAACTTAAACACACAACTGCTCTATTTAAGGTAGAGATGCAGGTTCGTGGGCACTTAGGAGTGAATTTTTTTTTTTGCTTTTTATTATCCAAAGAGTCTTGGCTATAGATTGTTGAAATTTTGTAGAATTGTGAATAGTGGAACATACTCAAAACACGATTTTAAAATATAGATAACAGGTGCAAAATTATCTCTTTTGAATGCTTAGCAAGATTTAGCAATGCTGTACATAAATAATAAAAAAAAAAACATGGTGAAAAAAAGATATGACGGGATCTCCATATTATGCACTGTATTTAACTTTTTACAAAACGATAATACATTTAAATTTGAAACTGTAACAGCCATTTTAATTATGAGCATTAGCAAACTTCTTACTGAGTGAATTGTTATGCAAATTAGCAGATATCTCAGCTTCTTTTTAGTGCACATTCCAGAACCTTTTGTTTTGAAATTTTCACAAATGATTGACAATGTGTCAAAACGCTGTTGGGGCATTGTTTTTAGTTGATTAGTGTTACAACAATCATACAGACAACTAGCCTGGGTGTTAATTTATGCATAAACTTGAAGTAGTGAAATTTTAGCTGCTGCCCTACAAAACTGACAACTGGTAGACAGTTTTCAAGACAGCACTTTCTTCATAGTAAACAGATGTACCCATAAACCAATTTTGACAGGAAACAGAAGCATAGTTTAGCAGCTATTTTTTTTTAAATCACTTTTGACCAAAAAAGCACATTTTTGTGCATATTTCAAACTACAGTGTCCATAAAAATAAAATACTAATAAAACTTTAAAATTCATACAATAAGCTTTCCGAAAATATATAGTTTTGTGGACAAGGGAGGTCATCTTGGTTTCCTAATTAACTAATTAAAATACCTGTCAGGTAAACTGCATTGATACTTGTAGATTAGCTTCAAGCGAGGAAAGTGTAGTTTCTTTCTGATTTCCAAAATTCTTGTTAATACAGGCATTGAAGCAAGGTGAACTATATACATAATCATCTTAATAAACATAGGGGAAATGTAGCTTTGTTAAATTATTTTTTACATGTTCTATCTGGAGGAAACTGAGAGCGTCTGTTGTAGCACTGGACAATAACATTTCCAATGACAGTAGATTCTGTCACTCGGAATTATCCACATTGCAGACTTGTTTTTCTTGCATTACCGGTATTATCATGATGCTGGTAGCATCTTTGATGGTTTTAGACGGAAGCCCCTCCTCTTTCAACTACAATGCTAGATAAGAGTGGCCCACAACACCTGTGACTTCAAATTATTCCATCTCATATTTGTGTATGGGTTTGAATCAAATCTGTCAAAGACTTAACAAAACAGTATGTGCTTATGTAAAATAAAATTGGTTACCTATTAGCCAATCTATCAAAATACTGACTAAAAACAATTTTGTTCATAATTTAAAATATAATATTCAGAACACTCTACACTTGTATGTAGCATGACATTTTTTTTAGTTGTATTTTTTTTATTTTACTGTTATACCATTTATTAATATTTACTATTTTTTTCAGATGGTCTCGAGTTCTTCATAAGCCCCAAAAACACTATTTTTTGCCCTGGTAATGAACAAGGCTTAATTTTACCAAAATATTTCAAAACAGCCATAAGGATATCACCAGGTAAGTGTAATTGAATGCCTCTTATCCCAAGCATGCATAAATGCCGAGTCATTGCCTGTATCCCTAGCCGAGATGCATCAACGTTTTGACACTTCACAATGTTTTGACCCTTCACAATATTTTTTTTAAGTTTACTTTCATCTTATCTGGCATCATCATTATAGTAGACATACAATGCTTTTATTTGCTGGACCCAATTTCTGCTTTAGTTACACCCACCATAGATGTCCAAAGTTTGTCAAGATTTCAGTGTGCTTTGCGGGAGAGGGTTGCTATCAGTATTGAGTTACTATATTGTGTCCAACAAGTCGGGAATTACTATACTATAGGAGAAATATTCGCATGAGGTTAATGTTTTATATTGATGGCTTTGTAAAGGAAACAATGCATTCTACTGTATACTTTGCATATTATAAAATAAAAGCAAAAATAAAACCCAGGCATTTACAGTATTTTGTTATAGAAAGGTTATCAATAGTATGAATATGAAAAATTATTTAACAGAATTTTCTTATTTACAGAAATAGAAAAGCTTTCACTTGAGATATCAGATAAGCCCAAGTGTGCGAAGAAAAAATAGTTTCAATCATGTGACGTGTCTGGAGAACAATGGGAAGATGTCATTCCATGCTGTATCATACAGTGAACGCTCTCAATAGTGTTGTACATTTTTGCTATATGAAATTAAAGTCACACTTTAAGTTATTCCATACTTTGTCTATAGAAAATAGAGAACTACCTGTATGAATAATAAAAGTATACTAATGGGTCTTCTGAACTACTACAAGATCTTGCATTGTGCGTAATGCATGAAAGGTGGGACTGAATTTTCAATTTCAAACTTGCAGAGGGGAACTAGAGATGCCCAAAATAAACTTTCACCTTAGTTTATCCAATTTTTTACATTCGTTTTCATGCACAATGCGAGATTGCAAGAAGCTCAGAAAATTAATTATTCATTAAATTTCATGAGATTATGTACAATATGCTTAAAGCAGGGGAATCGTCACCTGCGCATGCACCTGTCAGATGGTCATAGCATGTCATTGTTTACAAAATGAGCCTTTGGGTTTTTTAGCACATGTTGTTATCATCGCTTGGGGCTCAATTCCCGCGCATGCGCAGGTGACCACCCTCCTGCTTTAATATACTGACTTCCACTGTAGGTTGCCTGAAACCTAATACGCTGTTCTGCTAGACCGGAAGAAAAAGCCTTCGGTCAATCCGTTTTCTGAAATTGAGATACTTTTTTTTAAATTGTCAAGTTTTGCCTTTATTTTGATTTTACTTAAATACTGACAAAAAAACTCATTTTTAACGGACATGTGCAACGATTGAAGCTTGATTATTTTTTACTGGGCCTTGGTATGTATCTACAAAATTGAGTTGTCTTGCTCAGACATGGTTTACAATGAAATTTCAAATTATCACATTTATAATTATAATAACATTTCTCCATTGAATACCATGAATAATGCATCATAGTTTAGATTTTTTTTAATACATTCAAATTGCCATCTTAGATAATGTGAATATTGTCAAGCACATTAAAGTGTTAGAGTACTAAAACATTTTTTTTTTTTTATGTCAAGTATTCAGACATAATTAGCTTGATGATAATTTGAATTGAGGTTACTGTAAAATACTCGTATTTTAGCTGGAATTAATTTTCACTGAATTTTGATGAGTTGAATATAGGAAAAAAGGTATACCGTATTCACTGGATTATTAGTTCCCTTTCGAAACAGAGAAATACATGTTCATGTGTTCCATAATCAGATCAAAGATGGCCGACTGGCATCCATCTTGTTTTTTTTGAAAATGTGGTATCTTGGACAAGATTTGTCAGTTTTCATTCAAAATATTATACATGTTAAGATGAATGTTTTGTATCTCTGTACCATTTTGGAAGAGCCACAATTATTCACTCTAAATTATTAACTATGCTTTTGGTGCTTATTACTGTTTTTTCGGCATGAATAGCATTTCCTCAAATTCCAACGGGGACTATGTCATTAACATTGACTTGTAATTTAAACTAAATCATTATAAAGTATTTTACAGTATTTGTTAGTGCAGAACAGGAAAGAAACAGAACACAGAAATATATATTATTCAAGAAATAGTGTATTTATTTTTCTTTTGTTTTTAATTAAACCTATATTCATCACTTGTTTCCATTGCTGTAGTCTTGTTTCCATACATACTCTTGGTGATAAGAAATCCCATCACAACTGTCACTGCAAGTATATATCCCTAATGTTCCCCAGTCTAGACTTTCACCAATGCTATCAACGTTGAGATGAATCAGTAACTGGGGCATAATCTGGAAAAAGAAAAATTGGATATTTATTTAAACCTACGTTTGGATGGACAGTGCACACTAAATTATCCTACCATGCATGGAACAATTTGTTTGACAAAAAGACATTTCAGCTCGCATATTTGACTATGGTAAATGTGATGTCTTGTCTACACACAAGTTAATAATAACTACTCACTTTTATATGTTCAAATTCTGGTCAGAAAATATTTAAAACAAGTATGAATTCATTGTCACGTGTGAACAGCACTCTCTATTGATAGGTTCTAGATATCGCAAACAATACTGAAATTGCTGTAGCTTTGGTTTTGAAAACTGACATGTTTAGAGACAGAATATTATTAAGCCCTCATTCAAACGAATCTACAAGACTTAAAATCCTTTTTACTAATTAATGAAGTACAGGAATTTGTTTCATAAAAAATAAATACTTTCCACAAAATGTGAAAATTTGGTGTTATATCATGTTCTTCAATACAAAGCTACTCGCCTGAAATTCAAATTTCCTTTTAGCACCACACTGACAGGCAGGAATTTCTTCATCTTTGGGAATGTTCTCACTAGAAACCCATAATGGCTTACCACCTCTGTTGTATCGGAGAACCTATACAAAATGGAATCAACATTGTCAAGGATCAGTATGCATACAGACGAATTTCCATGTACAAACTCAAATCAGTGCAGTTTGACAATTGCATAGTAATCCTTTTGTATTTTTAATTAAATGAACTAAAATATAATAGTTTTTAGACATTACACACATCGACTCAAAATAAGTCCGAGACAATGTAGCTGATGATTATTAAAAATATGGCTGATGCTGATTACTATAAATGTAAGAAAATCACACTAGTCTTCATCTGGTGATGAAAAACATGTGGCACCCATATGGTGACAGATTCTTATGGATACAATATTGTAACGGGTTGTATACCTTTGATAAGCTTCCAATTATTGTTTCAGTAAATAACCAAACAAAACAAATAGACCATTTTCTGTACACTGTGAGAATCACGCGTTATGCGTGAAATCGAACGTAAAAACAGGACAAACAAAGGTCATAGCGTCGTAGTCGCGTCAAACATCGCATGGGATTCGACAAACGCGAAAGTATTTCGGGGACATTTCCATGCTTAATAATGTGCTGTCCACATTTGATGATAGGCAATTTCGATTAAGTGAAGGTATTCGGAAGCAATATTCCTCTGTCGAAGATCGGCCGGTCAATGTAAGCTGCGAAATAAAGAAATTCTACTTCAAAATCAAATCGTTCGATTTTTGCGGCAGACGTTCGACGCGCGTCTTTCATGCATCTCGCGAGATCTCACAATTGTTCGGAAAATCACCTATTGATATCGCTGCTCATGTAGAGCTGAAATGAGTTTCCACTGTAACAAAAAAAAAATCACCGGAGTGCTTTGCTCATACATGTAAAAAAAGCATCCACTTTGAGTGCATATTTCACCTGTTCTGGTTCATGATTTATTCTTTTCTGAAAAACAGTAAACTGTTCATCATTCTCGTGCAATGCCATCCTTTCCAAATCATGATCAGTCAGTCCTCTGTCTTTCATCACTGATTTTGCCTCCTCAGATTCCATGAATTCTGCATATTCTTTCATTTTATCCGCCTCGCATTTCTCATTTTCTTCAGGTTCTTCATACTCTTCCGCTTCTGTGACAATCTCATATTCTGGAAACAGCAATTTACTGACATTCATTTCACATCCTGCAAGAGAACAAAGAAAGTACTGTAATGCAGAACACCTCCAGTGATTAAAGTCAATGTGATCACCATGTGAAATGATAAAACACTGAAGCTAGTCCACACTGAAGGTTGTGGTGTCTAAACACTTGTTTATAAAACCAAACATGTTTGCATTTGTCTACAGCAGCTGCATTATTTCACAAACTTGTAAGCCAGGTTGTTTAAATGTTAAAGTTTTTAATCGCTACCCATTTCAGTATCTGACTATTCTTTTGTGCTGGCAACAATTCCATATTTGTAGTATTAGTAGCGAATGTAAATGACAAGTATATCCATGGTCAAAATAACTAATATTAATTAATAGTACCGCTTTATTGAAAGGTTAAATGACAGTGTTTAAACTAAAATTAATTATTGTTATGACGGTGTTATGATTTTGATCATGAAAACTGCTACCCTGCAACATTCTTTGAAATCTTCGTAGTGGTGTTTGTTAAAACTTAGCCTTCATCTTCATCATACTAGTATATCAAATGTCCTACTATATTTAGATGAGGGTTCTCAAATTTAAAAATGAAATTGTGTACATGCTTGTGATAAAATAAAAATGCACTGTGTTCAAGTGTAGAACGCTCATAGGATTAAATTAATCTTGATTATAATATTTCACACAATTCTGTCACACAAAATTTTGAATTTAAATTCTAAATCTATATATATTTGAAAATGATTTGTCCACTCACTGCATTTGACCAAGCAGTTTTCATTGTAATCTAGCTATGGGTTGTCTATAAATGACACGTAGTCGCAAAAGTTGTCTGAAGTTGGAATTCTGCAATGTATGGCAAAGCTCACACATATTACACTAGAATGTTTCAGGGGAAATTGATAGGACGATAGTGATTTTCATGATTGGTTTATTTTACAATGCCCACTGTAGATTGTTCTGATTAAATAACCTATCAAAGTACTGCGCATTTCATAAAGGCATGAATTTGTTTTATATTAATATTCATATTTTATGGCTTGGCTTTTAACAAAATGCAAGACCTTCAATCAGAGGGAGGGGGGGGTTGTTTGGTTTATACAGATTAGAATAAAAATACTTTTGGCATTTTGGCATTTGCTCTACCGGTATGTAGTGTCATATATATTTTGTTTAAAAATGGATGTTTTTCTCCTCTCATAACAAGTTTTTGTTTAGTTATGGTACACTGTGTTATTATTTATGATTATCAAACATGATAACTGCAACAACCTCAAGTAGGTGTTAATGTAGATTGAGACGCGCCTGTGCTTTTCCATTATAAACACCAATAAACAATGGTTATTTCCAAGGGAGGAGGAAGTCTCCTGAAATACCGGTACCGTACCAGGAATTGTGGGAATTTACATCTTCCTTCCATGACAATGTTTTGATTGATTTATTTATCCTAAATCTGACTGACTGCGAGTGTTAAAACAAGAGATAACTTTGCCAAAGATACAGATTCACAAAAGTGGTGTTTTTTCCATTTTTGATTCTGAACAATTTTAAAAAAAACAAAAACAAATAGTGACTAACAGTGAATAACACTATGATGTCGCCATTTGGTTTTTCAGGTATTCAAAAAAATTAGCTTCCGTGCGGCATTTTGATTTTGTTAAAATGTGGCCTGAATGTTCTAAAACGTCATCTGAAAAATAGATGCCACTTCACAGTGACACTAAAAATTGTTTTTGTTTTTTAGCAAAAGGGGTTTCCTACTACTTTAATGAGCACAGGAAATGCACATCATGAATAAATTAGCATTTTTTTCTTTAACTAATAAAGTGTAGGCAAGTTTCGCCCATGGCTTCTTTATAGCCAATGGAAGCGTCCTTTTGGAGGTATCAGGACGATCCGGCCCTGGTCGGTTGCGGCCCTGGTAAAAAAAAAGACGATCCGGCCCTGGTTTAGACGTTCCGGCCCCAGAACAGTTTGGTCGATCCGGCCCTGGTATAAATTATATTTGATACGTGTTCATATCTAATGTTATTAATATATTAAATACACAACGAATGATTGACTATCTTGTTTAACAACTTATTTTTCGTCTTTTGCAGGGAATTTTCACGGTTTAACACCATATTTTACACAATGCAACAGATGTTTTTCATTTACTCGCCGCCGCCTTTGTACTAAACACTGTATGGCCGGATGTGATTTACACTGTGCACATGGACATGTGTAGGCCCGCAGACAGATAACTTGAATACACATCTAATACAATCCGTTTTAGTCAGGGTTCGAATACACATTTGTGGTTTGTCATGTAATGAATTAAGAACGTTAATCAACAGAGGAAGGTTTATGTAGCGGTTTATGTCGGCAGACAAAATAGTTTTATTGGTCTATCAGTAAATAAACAAATTAACTGTTTCTTTGCATGTTGTGCTTCTGGTTGTTGAGCAATACATTTCAGTTCCGCTCAGGGTCCGCATTTTTGTTGTTCGTTTGAATGTGTTTCCATGGGGAATTACGTGAATAAATTAAGAACAGAAGTCGGAACGTAACAATGTAGCAAGATGCCTCACTTTGTCGCCATGTTAAATTCACGACTTCTCGTACTTTATACGCAAAATTACGAACAATGACCTGTCGGTTGGCAGCAGATCATTGTTTAAAGAAAAACAATTCACAGCTAAAAGAAGGTGTTAACAACTTGAATAGAAGTGAGTATGTGACTGATGATACTGCCTGTACGCAAGTGGTCAATATTATGAACAATGACGAAAAATAAGTTGTTAAACAAGATAGTCAAACATTCGTGTATTTAATATATTAACATTAGATATGATCGAACACGTATCGAATATAATTTATACCAGGGCCGGATCGACCAAATTGTTTTGGGGCCGGAACGTCTTTTTTTTACCAGGGCCGCAACCGACCAGGGCCGGATCGTCTAGAAATCCTTTTGGATATGAACGAACTGTGTGAATTTTCCGGTGTAACTGTTTTATAAATGTCAATAAATTTATGCCTTCATGAAATGCATGAACAGTACCATTTGGAGGAGTACTTGTATTCAATGATTTATAAACGACTAACAAAGAATGCCAACCTTGATTGCCACAATTTATTTTATGTCCGTCTCTCCAATCGACTGTTTGATGGTCACGACTACAATATGTAACTTTGTGGCATTTCCCACACTGTTTTGGCCCAGCACATCCACAAACCACGCACAGTTTTTGGCCAAAATCGTCTGGACTGAGTAGACCTCCATTTTCTTTTTCCTCTGGTGGTTCAAAATCATAGAATTCATTTATTCTTGGTAACTGACATCTAAATACGACAATGGGTGGGCTGTTCGAGGAAGAATAACATTGAGGATTCCGACAACAAAAAATGAATACCGTTCTGTGAAAACACGATTCTTTCTCCGTGACGGGAGCGTAAACTTGCAAGAGGAAAACACATTGTTTCTTGCAATTATGGCACTGAAGAAGGTTTTCTGCGGGTAGATTTTTCAACCGCAACCACGACGGTTTACCTCCGACCTTACTCGGAAAAAATTTACTGTTCAGACGCCAGCAGTCGACTTTCTCGACAAACCCGAGCTCAGTGTCTATGGGCGACGCCATCTTGAATAAAATAGGTTTCCCTGACCCTAACCTCGAATTTAATTGGTTGTTATTCGTCATGTGATGAATTCGTGACCTCGTCAAGATACACAAACAGAGACGTACATATTCGTTCAAACATGGAAAATTTGAGCCTGAATGACTTCAGATTGGGCACTGGGGACCTTGTCCAGCAGGTAATTATACTCCAACATATTTATAAATCCTTCTTTGAAGCCTATGTGCATTGCGGTGTAAGGAATACCGTACAACAAACGCAAATTTGGCGTGATCTGTCTGGGCGTTTCGTTCATTCTGATTCAGACACTACGTATATAGTATATTGTGGGATCTATATTGTGACCATGTATGTTTATAACAACATAGATAACACCGTAATGTACATATGACACATTTATATTATTATAAAGTCGTTGTAGACGTGATTATTTTAGTGCTCGTGAAACAATGACGTTGAGGGCATAGACATTTTAAAAATCAACTTCAGATCACTATTGGGATCAGTCATGGAACTGAATCTAGTGTCCTGTCTGAACCTCATTGTCAGAATTTGATTATTTACATTCAGCAACAACTAACACACTGCGATGTATCCTGCTGTAACAAAATGAGGTAGATGTATGCAATAACTTTTCAGTTCTGGTCACCAATAGTTTTTTGTTTGGTTCATCTTTTTTCGTCAAAATCAGTGTGTATCAATTTTCTGCATATCTACCACATTTTGCTATAGCAGGATCCATGGTAGTGTTCGAGTGAATTAACAGTTAATGACAACACTAGGTGGAGAGTGCTTATGTACACCAGATCACGATAGGTTATATGACAATGTACATGTGGACAAGCTTTAGATGGTGGTGCATTAATACATGGAGACCTGATGATTCCGATGACTGTCCAAGGTCTGACATTTTCGAGATATGTGTCCTTCAGAAGTTTAGCTCTAGTATGGGGTACAAATTTGATCTTCGCTATGCAAGAACATTTTCTT